ACGTCCGCACCTGCCCAAATTTTACCGCCACAGTGTGTTAGGAACCATTAAAAATCAGACAAACAGGTATAACTACAAGTAGCATCTTCGTAGCGTGCTGTGCTCTTTCCAAACAGAGCACAACACTTTACAAGCCCGGTGTCTTGGTCCCTAAACCCGGAGAAGCATCAGGGTACCACAGTCACAGGGCACTGACACCCTGTTTTTTTGCAGGACACACGAGGTTTGTGTCCCCAGTGGGATGCAGGGAGGAGAGCTGGGGTTAACTAACAGCACAGGCAAACCCAAAGTTGTCAGGTAGAAGTAGTCAAGGTTTTCAGATAGGAAGGGGGGGGGGAGGTTTCCCTCCTTTGCTGCCTTGCGTTAGGTGCTGGCTTTAAGTTTGAAAATAACAACCTCAGCCTTAAAAATCCTGATTACAAAACAACCGGGGTCCGGCCGCCCCCAGGCCAAGGAACAGGACCTTCACCAGCCTCAGAGCTGCCCAGGGCTGGACCTCAAGCAAGCACAAGTCAGCAGAGATCCCCCCAACTCAGTTCGCACCGGCGCCTGCTCAAGCCTACGGGACAGGCTCCATCTTCTTGCAAGTGCCCGCAAGATCGCTTGTTGCCCTGAAGAAAGGTGGGAAGTGATGAACAAGGGTGTGTGAAAGCTCAGGGAGGTACTCCAGGCCTTCAGTGTCGTGGGTTTGTTTTTTTTTTTAAACCAAGAGGTAGAACTGATCCTTCATGCTCTTGCTTGCTCTAAACGTGATGCAACCACTGCATTACTCATCTTCAGGTGCCACCTTCCAGAGGACACTGAGGTCTTTGTCTGCTGCTGCTAAGGTTAGGGCAGCTCTTGGGGTTTGCTGTCTTGTACAAAGTCACCTGAAGACATTAAAAAATAAAAACCCCCAACCCTGTTTGTGTTCAATGTCTTCCCTTCCCCAGTGCTTCTTTACTCTGAGACTTGGAGAGGTGCAACCAACGGCACAAATCCTTCACGCACGGAGGGGAAGGGTGGCTCCTCTCCGCCTCATCCGGGGAAAGCAACGGCTGCTGGCGTTACAAGGAGTTAATTCTTCAGCGCCACGAGGCTTTCTTTCAAGGCATCAGCTTCAGGCACACCTTGTTTTTTCTGGACAGACTTCACATAGTTGGAGAAAAGCTGCCAGAATCGAGCTTCCCGCTCATGAGCCAACCTTAAGAAGCCCAGCCAGCAGCAACCGGCAGCACCCAGGAGCAAGGCCGACTGGCCGAAAGATGATTTTCCCCGATGAAAGCAAAGCCCTGTTCCCACCCGGGCTTCCCCAAAGCAGCGGGGTTATTTCAGATCTCTCTCCGTGCTGCTGGACCCACAGCAAAGCTGGTGGCGAAGGAAGGTGAAACCCCCAGGAGAGGGGAGGTGGCCCCAAAATACTCAACTGGGTTTGCAGTTTGGGGAGCCCAGGAAGGGGATGGATGAAAGCAGGGCTGGCCAGGTGGGTTTGGGTTCGTTTGCATTGGATTCATGCCCTGATTTGAGGCTCGGATTAAAGGGTGAAGGAAGTCAACTAATAGCCAGAACCTGACACAAAAACAAAGCAGAGGGTGTAACCCAAGCAGAGTCAGAGGAGTTTCACTTAATAACACCCGTGATTCAGACAGCCTCTTTCAATCCCAACAATCCCCAAACTCTTTACAAACCCACGGGTCCTTCGGCTGTCACTGAAACACCAAAGGCACCCAGTGCCTACAAACTACGCGGGAACTGGGTGTTTGGCACCTCCAAGTTCTTTAACCCATGATTGAGACAAGTCAACCCTACGTGGCCAGCGGGTCACATCACCCAGGTGAGATGCATAAAACTTCTAGAAATAAGGTCCTCTTGAGACCTTTCTTCTACACGTCAGAAACAAAAACACAACCAGTGCAAAAATAACCGGAGAAGGAATCTCTCGGGGGCAGCCACAACGGCCCTTCTCAACCCATACCTGCGACGCGACGGTGCGACGAGAGCTGGGTTCGGCTTCACGGGATCCAGACCAGCGCGTCCAGATGTCTTGCGGGGGATCCTGAGCCGTCCACTTCCATGGCTCACATCAAGCAGGGCGGTGCAGCGCGATGGGTTTGCAGAAGCTGGGATGGCTCTCCGATGACCTGCCATGGCCTCTTGTATCGGTACATGGAGGTACCCTCGGCAATTCGCCAGGAGAGGAGAGACTGTAATCCAAATTTGACCCTCGGCACAGCCCCCAGCCCCTGTTAGGGCAATGTTCTCTCCCAAGCTTCTAATTTTCATCTTAATTTGGGATGGTTGCAGTGATTCCCAGCTCTCCAGACTACACCTGCGGCAAATTTGATGCCACTACTGGTGCAGTAACTGCTAACTGCCACCAAAATTGCAGTCTGAGATACTCAGGGAAGCCAAAACGTCGCACTGGTTTAATTTGGCATCTACTTTCCCTTTACTCTGAGCTGTAAAACACAACAGCTCAGAAGAGGCTTCACAACCAGCTGAGAAATCCCTGCAGGATTAAAAGAATTAAAGGCTAGGCAGGCTGGATAGAAGATGAAAAAGAATCTCAATCTCAGTTTTCACTTGCAGTTTAGAAACCCAGAAACACACGAGCAAACACCCATCAGCTCATCAACAGCCACGGCACGATCCGGCCACCTGCCTCGGTACCACCGGGGAAGGACTCGGGTGTTTTGTAGCTCGCTGGCTCTTAGAGGATTCTCCCAGAACGCCAGACACGGCCGAAACATGTGGATGGCTTAAGAAAACTGCTACTGAACCAATCTGGCTATTGCCCCAAAAAAAGAGATGCTTAGCTCTCAGTAAGTCCTTCCTGGATGGATGCACGCGTCGATCAGCAGGACCTCTTAAAAGATATTTTAAATAAAAATAACCGAACTTTAGGACCTACCATTGAGACGACTTAAAAGACAGGAAAAAAACAAAGATTATATAAATAGGAACTTCTCATTTTATTCTCAGTTGTTCGAGGAGTCTTTTGATTTTACACTGGAAACTTCGACGTGACCGTTTCATTATTTCCCCAGCTTAGGCAACGTTGAAAAAGCAGCCTAACAAGGGATCAGAATTTGAATCAAGAGGGAAGGTTTTTACCCTGGATTGCCAAAAGGTGCACTTTCCTAATACATATTTATCTGTAACGACATGCATTTTGGGCAGAGGAAGCTTTTCTTGCAAGACACAATACAAAACCTTTATCCTATCAGTCACAGGGATGAATCCCACAATAAACATCTCTAGGGCTTCCCTGAGCTTCTGGGCAATTTCACATTTCTGACAATTTAAACACAAAAATCAGACTTATAAACAGACAGTTCCCCCAGAGAGCAGGATCTCAAAAGTTTTTTCTGTCCTGTTCCATATGATACAGCACAGCAAAAAAAACCCAAACCAAGGAACAAAGGGGGCCTAAACAAAAATTAACAAACACAGTGATTTGCTGGTCACCATTAAAGTGCATTCAGTTCCACCTCAGCTCTCTAACCCTGTGCTTGCGCTGTTTCCCCCTTCCCTCTCGAGGCTGAGCCCCATCGTGCTGGCTGGGGGAGCACCAGATCTGCCAGGCAGCAAGGAAGCAACGTTAGTTCACAGTAGGAAGGATGTTGAGAGTCCCGAGTTAGCTCACTGCCATGTTTAGAGGGCGGATTTTGCACCGTTTGCTGTCATTCAGAGGAGGAATTTGTTCTCATCACAGTGCTAAGGCTTGCCATGGGGACATTGGGGAGCTCCATCCCCTTGGTACCACGTACCCCAGAGGCTCCTGTCTTCAGACAGCATGTAATGTCTCACCTGGAAGGGAGATGACAATTTTGGATCTGCTCATGCAAACGCCGCCCTGAAGGTTTAAATCACCGCAGGCCACAGCTGCAGTCGCGCCTGCTGAAACCAAAGAATTCGAGCCCACGGCTCAGGGCTGGCTCCCGCTGCCAACCTCTGGAGAGGCTCCAGCATCGAGAGAGAAACTCAGAGGGGGAAAAATAAAAAAAAATCTCAAAACCCAAGGCAGAGCTCAGCCCTCCGATTGCCTTTCCCATGGGGGTATACACCACGGGGACCTGCTGCACCGCTACACAAGGGACATGCCCTCGCCGTACTTCAGGCACTGCTGGGCAGCAGCTCTGCCACTTCTTGCACATAAAACCAACAGAGTGGCCACAGCAGCTCAGAGCCAGTGGAGAAATATTGTTTGGGACCAGACGTCTGGAGGGAAGCACCCTTGGACGTGCAGAGAGACCTGCTTCCTGCTTGGGCTTGAAAATTAGACATGGTGATACCCTAGAGAAAGGCTACAGTAAGAGCTGGCTCATCTTCAGCGAGGAAGGAGCTTGGGCAAAGTCAACCCTGCTCTGGCAGCAGTTTGTCCTCACTGCTGGTGTTGAGCCAAAGCCTGCTGAAGTTCATGGAAAGTCAGTAACCTGTTGCTGTGCCTCTAATTAGTCCCGAGCTTGCTGGGGACTTAATTTGCCTCCAGCTAGAGCACGCAGGTCCCCTGGCATCAGGCAGTTGTCATCTGAGTTATTAACACAGAGGTGGGATCCAGCGCTCCCGCTGCAGAAACACAGATGTCCGTATCCGAGGGCACCACCTCTAAATCCCTTTGCAGTCAGCGGAGACAGGCGCTCCCGAGCCGTACTGTATCATCCCAGCACGGGGATCTAAAACTGGACAGATGAATCACACGCCAGAAGTATCTATTTCTCTTCATTGACTGCAAAGGGAGCCTGGCTAGGTCCCACAGAGATGCCCTTAGGCTAGAGACAAGTAAAATCAGGCCAGATTAACCCCACTCAAAGAGGGAGCGCTGCAACCTGGAACACAGCGACAGCCTGATAGATCACCCCAGGAGACGTTACGACTTCAAGCCAGGGCGACGCGTTGCCTGAGCTTGTCTTTGCCCACGGGGAAGAGGAAGTGCTGCCTCATAAATACTATTTACACCAGATTGCTTAAATTAATATGAGTTTCTTGGGGGGGAGGTAGAAGAGAGAGAGACAGATACTTCATACTGCGGGAGCTAACGATCTCGTTCTTCCCGGCCACCTTCACCCCTCTCAGTTGTAGGACAGGTACTGGATTAATCGCGGAGGAATATTGAGCCTGGCAATCTTCTCCAGTGCTCGCTGCCCGGCGGCTTTCCTCACCGTAACTCTGCAGAGCTGCGACAGGCTCAGAGGCGTTTCTGAAACGAGAAACAGAGGATCCAAAGTGAAGGCTGCAGCTCAGCGGACGGCCGATCTTCCCGCCGAGCACAGACCTCCCAGGAGGGTGACGCCTGGCATCGCCACCGCCATGATCCCCATCCTGGCTCTGCTCACAAGCACTCGACCTCCCACAGCATCCAGGCCCAAGGAAGGTCCTGCAGAGGCACGGTCGTGCTCTCTCAAGGCTCATCCCGATGCAAAACCCACCAGAAATAGCGAGCACAGCTGCAGCGCGCTTTTCCCAGCTCCCTTCACAGAATCACAGAATGTTCAGGGTTGGAAGGGACCTCTGTGGGTCACCCAGTCCAACCCCCCTGCCGAAGCAGGGTCACCCAGAGCAGGCTGCGCAGGACCTTGTCTAGGCGGGTCTTGAATATCTCCAGAGAAGGAGACTCCACAGCCCCTCTGGGCAGC